GCTAGAGGCTGAAACGATAGAAAGAACACATTTCTCCCACCTCCTCATCGAACTCCCCTATTCACCAGGAACTGCACTCTGTTCAACTTTACTCATTCGCAACTTTAATTTTCTTTCAGAACAATACAACTTGTGTAGACTCAGGGCCTGGAGCTCCAGTCAAAACCTGTTCCACCCTGTCCTCCTTAAAAGGCTCCTTAATATCGCCTGTTTCAATTTTTCCTTATGCCATTCAGTGTCAGTTAGTTTGATAATATCCCTGTGAAATGCATTGGGATGTTTGCTATAAATAGCACTTTAAAAATATGAATCAGCTGTAGAGAATCACCATGTTCTTCCCCATCCTTTTATTCCATGCTGTAGCGGGGAGGGGCCGAAGGATGGGGATTAGGAGCAGGAACTTTGGTTACAGGTACATTCAGTGCTTTAACTGCTGCCTTTTAAGATCCATTTTCTCCAGAGAGAACTAGTATCTTAATTGGGTAAGTGCCTTTACCTATTTGACTATTGTGGAGGTGGTAGGGCTCTTGCATTCTACAGTTAACAAGAGATCAGAAAGTCACAAGCTCATCTGCTGATATAATAAACTTTGCCCCAAACCGAATGAGCGGTGAACAGCTTAACTGACTGAAAAAACGTGTCAGCTATCAATTTTGAATGTTGATGTGAGCATCTGCAAGGGCCTATTCATTTACAGGCTGGTGGTGGGAGAATGCATCATGTTGGATGATAAGAGTTAGTAGTTTTTACTTGAAGTTATAGTGGATGTTGAGATGCCAAAATATGGCATCAGCACAGCAGGCTACTAATCAATAAAACCGTACAAATATATAGGGAGATTGTATTTGTATCTAAGACAATTGCCCCATCAAGAGAGTAAATTTCCATTCAAAAGGAACTGCATTTGATTTCAAAAATTTGCCCAATGTGCTTACTGCCTTTATCTGATCTCTCTCCCTGGCTCAATTCTGACTGTGCAATTGTCACCTGATGTGCAGTTGCTTGTAAATCAAATCACATTCCAAATCCGTTTAAATAAAAGATTTAGATTTTAGCCTTCTATTGTAATTCAGTTAATTTTCCAAATCTATACTATTGTATCTGTATACAATGCTTAGGTTGGACAACTCTCTCTCAATTTTTACTGGTGAACAGCTTAAACTGTGGTACACCAATAACCCAGATTCACATGGAGCCAGTTTTCAGTAAACACCATTGACTGTAGCACCTTGTTCCTAGTTACTATGTGCATTATTGACACTTAAAGGATCTTGTGAGACAGCTGAACAGTTGATGAGAAAATGTCTTGACACTTTCTAACCCCAGTCATTACATAAACACATCATATGACTGACAAAACATTTCATTAACAGGAATGGAAAGATTTATTCAGAGCTGCACAGCATTGAAACACCTTTTGTTCCAACTCATCCATGCCGACCAGATATCCTAAATTAATCTAGTCCCATTGGCCAGCATTTGGCCCATATCTCTCTCAGCCCTTCCCATTCATGTCTCCATCCAGAGGCCTTTTAAATGTTCCTCTGGCAGCTCATTCCATACATGCACCACCCTCCATAAAAAAGTTGCCCCTTCAGTGCCTTTTATATCCTTGCCCTCCTACTTTAAACCTGTGCCCTCTAGTTTTAGACTCCCCTACCCTAGGAAAAAGACTTTGACTATTCACCCAATCCATGCCCCTCATGATTTTATAAGACTCTAAGATCACCCCTCATCCTCTGACGTTCTAGGGAAAATAGCCCCAGTCTACTCAGCCTCTCTTTATAGCTCAACATTGTTGTAAATCTTTTCTGCACCCTTTCAAGTTTAACAACATCTCCTCTATAGCAGGGAGCCCAGAATTGAACACAGTATTCTACAAGTGGCCTAACCAAAGTCTTGTACAGCCACAACATGACCTTCTACCCCTATTCTCAATATACTGACCAATAAAGGCAAGTGTACCAAATGCCTTCTTCATTACTTCTGACTCCATCTTCAAAGAATTATGAACCTGCACCTCAAGGTATGTTTGTTCAGCAACACTCTCCAAGGCCCTACCATTAAGTTTGTTAATCCTGTCCTAGTTTGCGCCACCAAAGTGCAACACCTCACATTTATTTAAACACCATCTGCCACTCCTCGACCCATCAGCCCATCTGATCAAGGTCCCATTGTACTCCTAGATAACCTTCGTCACTGTCCATTACATCTCCAATTTTAGTGTCACCTGCAAACTTACTAGCCGTTCTTCCTGTATTCACATCCAAATCATTTATATAAATGACAAAAAGCAGTGAGCCCTGCACTCATCCTTGTGGCACACCATTGATCACAGGCCTCTGGTCCAAAAAAATAACAAGTTTCCACCACCACTCTGTCTCCTACCTTCCATCCATTTTTGTATCCAAATGGATAGGTCTCCCTGGGTTCCATGTAATCCAACCTTGCTAACCAGAGTACCATGCAGTACCTTGCTGAAGTTCATATAGACAACATCCACCACTCTGCCTTCAATCTACTTTGTCACTTCTTCAACAAATTCAATCAAGTTAGAGAGACACAATTTTCCACACACAAGGTCATGCTAACTTTAATCAGTTCTTGCCTTTCCAAATACAAGTAAATCCCGTGCCTCGGAATCCCCTCCAACAAATTACCTACTATTGATATCAGGATCACCTGTCTATAGTTCCCTGCCTTTTCCTTACCACCTTTCTTAAATAGTGGCACCACAATAGCCTCACTCCAGTCTTCCGGCACCTCACCTGTGGCTCAATGATACAAATATCTCAGCAAAGGGCTCAGCAATCACTTCCCCAGCTTCCCATCAAGTTCTAGGATACACCTGATCAGATCGAGGGGTGTAACCACCTTTACACATTTAAAGATGTCCAGAACTTCCTCCTCTGTAATATGGAGACTTTTCAAGATATCACTGTTTATTTCTCCAAGTTCTCTAGCTTTCATGTACTTCTCAACAGTAAATACTGATGTGAAATATTCATTTAGCTTCTCAGTCTTGTTGATCTTTAAGGGGCCCTATTCTCTCCCTAGTTACTCTTTTGCCCTTAATGTATTTGTAGAATCTTTGAATTCTCCGTAACCCTACTTTCCAAAGCTATCTCATGTCCCCTTTTTGCCCTCTTGATTCCCCTCGAGTATACTCCTACTACCCTTTTACTTAAGGGATTCACTCAATCCCAGCTGTCTGTACCTGACAAGTGCCTCCTCCTTTTTCTCGACCAGGGCCTTAACTTCTCTAGTCATCCAGCATTCCCTGCATCTACCAGCCTTGCCCTTTATACTAATTGGAACATACTGCCTCTGGACTCTCATCTCATTTTCGAAGGCCTCCCACTTTCCAACCACCCCTTTACCTGCGAATAGCCTGTCCCAATCAACTTTTGCACATTCTTGCCTAATACTGTCAAAATTGGCCTTACTCCAATTTAGAACTTCAACTTTTAGATCATGTCTATCCCTTTTCCATCACTATTTTAAAACTAACAGAATTATGGTCACTGGCCCCAAAGTGCTCCCCCACTGACACCTCAATCACCTGCCCTGCCTTATTTTCCAAGAAAAGATTAAGTTTTGCTCCTTCTCTTGTAGATTTATCTGCATACTGAATCAGAAAATTTCTTGTACATATTTAAATACATTTCCATCCAAGCCTTAACGCTATGGCAGTCCCAACCTATGTTTGGAAAGTTAAAATCCTCTACCATTACATTCTTACAGATATCCGAGGTGTCCTTACAAATTTGCTTCTCAATTTCCCGCTGACTATTGTGGGGCCTATGGTACAATCCCAATAAGGTGATCATCCCTTTCTTATTTCTCAGTTCCACCCAAATTACTTCATTGGACATACTCCCAGGAATATCCTCCCTAAGTACAGCAATAATGTTACCCCTAATCAGAAATGCCATTCCTCTCCTTCTTGCCTGCCTTTCTATCCTTCCTATATGATCTATATCCTAGAACATGAAGATGCCAGTCCTGCCCTTCCCTGAGTCACCTTTCTGTATTTTGCTATGATATCCCAGTCCCATGTTCCAACCGTGCCTGGAGTTTATCTGCCTTACCTGTCAAGGCCTCACGCATTGAAGTAAATGCAGTTTAATTATCAGTCTTATTTTGTTCTCCGCTTTGCTTTTGCCTGCCCTGATTATTTAATTTGCTTCTTTTCTCAACAGTAACAGCCTCAGACTTATCTCTTTTCTCATGATCTCTTTGCGTCCCACCTACCCTTTAGCTAGTTTAAAGCTTCCCGAGTAGCACCAGCAAATCTCCCTGTCAGCATATTGGTCCCCTTCCAGTTCAGGTACAAACCATCCTTCTGAGACAGGTCATTTCTACCCCAGAAGAGATTCCACTGATCCAAAAATGCAAATTCCTGCCTCCTGCACCAGGTCCTCAGCCACACATTCACCTGCTCTATCCTCCTATTCCTACCCTCACTAGCTCGTGGCACCAGGAATAATTCACATATTACTACCCTCGAGGACCTACTTTTTAAACGTTCTGCCTAATTTCCCGTTATCTCTCTTCAAAACCTCAACCCTTTCTTTTCCTATGTTGTTGGTACCAACATGTACAACAACCTCCTGCCTGTCACTCTCCCCTTGGAGAATATTCAGCACCTTCTCAGAGACATCATTCAAGTGCTTTCAATTAAATTATGAACAATACTTTCACGTACATGTACATCTTCAGAGCAGAGATGGCTTAAACTAAGACAGATGCCAGAAAATAATTATTTGCATCAAGATTAGCAGACTACCCAGAAGTGTGGCTGAAGCCAGGATACTGGCCCAGTTTAGAAAATAGGTAATGCTTTGGATACAATAGGGTACGGTTAGGGTTCTGGAAGAATGGAGTTATATTATTGAAAGCTCTTTCTGATGAAATGCTTGCCATTTTATAGCAATTGATAGAATTAAACTAAACCGAAAAAATCATACAGAAGCCTTTTAAAGAAAGGAATGCGCTCATACCATAATAATTCTTTATTGCAATGAAAAGTGTAAATAAGTATGAAGGAAGCACTATGATATAATTACTTGAAACTCTCAACAATTTGCTCATTCTCTCATTTTCATTTCAAATACCTTAACGTCACACATTAGTCACACATTCCTTTGGAACAATTCTGGGCAGACCCACAAACAAAAAGGCAGCTTACAGGTGTATGTTAAATACCACATGGATCAACTCTGATTACAGCAGTTTGCTGTTCAACAAGTTCTGATGTAATTAATATAATAGAAGGTTACAGCTCAATAGCTCTGGTGCATTGCCAGTTATAGTATTTCCCAAAACTCAAGTTTCCTCCCTCTTGCTTGAAAACCCTGACTCCTGCCCGACTACAATTCCACAGGTCTATGAATCTCACATAGGGAGTGTCAACAGGCACTATCTCTAACTCTCAATGCATACCAATGAATATTCCAGCAGGGAAATTATATTGACTAGGTGCATGAACCTGGCAAGCTGAGGGGAATTGTGGCATTCCACCAATCCCACTCCCCTGCCAACTGTCGCAGCTGAGATCAGCTAATTCAGCACAGACCAATGTTAAACAGGGGATCTACCAGCTCATTGATCAGTAACAGATGACAAGCCGTTACCAGCTAAGCCACATTACTTAACAAAAAACAGTAAGCTCGTGAATTATGAAACATCACAACACTGCTAGATTCATTCGCATCAAGTCAAATATAGTTCTTAATCAACACCCTATGCATGTCAAATACCAGAACAAGCATCACATTGCTTTTCAAGGCACCAAAGGTAAATATTCCGAACTGAGGTATTCTCAGAATCTTTTCAAAGCATTTAATTCCAAGCCCTCACCAACCAACACTACGTTCCTTCACTCTCCTACTGAATAACTCCAAAGGGTAACCTCCAAAGGCATTAATTCCACACATCCCCCAGCCATTAATCACATGATCATTCTTCATGTGAACCTAGACAGTCAGAGCTGGTAGTGTGGTCTACTATGTAATGCATCACATCCACCCCAACCCTCATGTCCATAAACGTTCCAGTGGGAGGGACTGAACCCTAACTAGATTTATTCATTTTATAAAGTTTCTGAATGACAAATTCCTCCTCAGAATTAGACACAGCTTTGTTTTTGAATTCCGTCACACTTCAAACTCCTGGGTGTATGTGAATAAAATGTGAACTCAAACAGAGCTGTCCTAAATGAATAAATGTAAACTGCACTATATACTGGCGAGGTGTGGTCCCATGGATGCATGGATGATGTTGCTGGGATGCAAGTTTATGGGCACCGAACCTGGTTATGGGTGCAATTCCACAAGTGCAAGCAGCCCTTCAATAACTTCAAAAAAATTATGCATCCATCAACCATGTGTGCAATTTCTGGCAATAAATCCCTCGATAGCAACCAGGGACAGCAGGCTGATATTTTGTTTTCTTGTTTAGAGACGCTAATTTTAGCACCCAGAGTTGTGCCTTGAATTTTTAAATGTCTATACACAGGTTGTAACTGCCATGTGTATACCCAGAGCAAAACTCAAGAATGGAAATTGAATCTGGATCCTTCATCTTAGGAAGTCACACAGTTAGAAAGGCACCATCACACAAGACCAGGTCATATATACCTCCATAGTCTCTGCATGCCAACGTATATTGTCCCGTATGTGTTTAAACAAAAATATGGTACACTGGTTTGTGTATTACAAGCTATCCCTTAACTTATGCATTTTTAAATAAATCTGTTAGTTAAAATAGTTGAGCCCTTATCCTTAGTAATGATAAAATTAATCAACATGTGTTTCCACATAAATAAAACGATAGAGGTGCTTATAGATGCCATGTGATAACTAGTTCGTGCTGGTGATATGACAGAAGCTTTGGTGCAAACTCCTTGTAACACATATTGCTGCACTGCATCTCAGTGACAGAATCATTGGTACGTAGCACACAGACTTCCTGCCCGAGAGGTTAACTTATTTCTTCCTCTTTCACATTGGCTTGTGGTGCTGCTGCAGCTCTCAGCTCTTAGATAGCACTCAATTCAGTGCAGAGTAGAACAGTTGTGTTAAGTCATCTCTTGAGTGTGTAAATTGAGAATGGTGCCTAATACTATCACGGCACAGCAAACCAAGCCTTGTTAATGTAGAAGCGGTACATCCTGAAATGTTTGAGCTAGTTAGGAGTGATGTCCCTTTTGTTATATGTATATCGGTTGCTCCTGTCCTGTTAGCAGACGGTACGTTGCTGCTGGCATCGTCTTTATGTGTATCTAGAAATGGAGAAACAGTTATCACAGTATAAGTATCCATACCATTTCTAAATCTCTTGTCTTCATGCAAACACAAGTCGTTTTCCAGGCAGTATTGAACCTCAGATTAGAGGGCACAGGTTTGATCTCTGCTTTTAGAATTGTTCAATTGTCCTTAATGCCCTTGTTAGGGATGAGGTTGGAAGGGGATGCAAAACCAGTTTAGTGCCCGTAAGTATGATCAGTGACTCATTCAAACATACGAACAAGAGTAGGCCCCTCAGTCCTTTGAGCATGCTCTGCCATTCAAGAGATCAGGACTGATCTGATTTTAATCTCAATTCTACATTTCTGCACATTCCCAATAATCTTTTATTCTGTTCGTAATCAAGAATCTATCTCCCTCTGCCTTAAAAATATTTAAAGATTTGGCATCCACTGCCTTTTGAGGAAGAGAATTCCAAAGTCTCTCAATCCTCAGAAAAAAAGTTTGCCCATCTCCATTTTTAAACAATGATCCCTAGTTCTAGATTCTCCCACAAGAGGAAATATCCTTTCAAAATCCACCTGGTCAAGTACCTTCAGGATCTTATATGTTTCAATTAAGTCACCTCTGACTCTTCTAAATTTCAATAGGATGCTAGATGGGCCTTTCTCAAGGTCCAACATTCCTTTTGATTTCTTTCAGAGAATGCAAATGCATCATCTCATTAGAACTGGATTGGACAATGGCACTTCCCTGGAAATAGCTAATTCCTGACACTCACTGGCCAAGCTCATTAACGCAACACACCACTTTGAGCAAGAAACCAGTTGTCAGGAGGGCAACAGCAGGGAAAATGACTACTTGCCCAAACCATACCCTCTCAGAAGTTTGCTTTTCTAACATATTGGCTTCAGGTATATGCTTTGAAAGGAAGACTACAATGTTTTAAAAATATGGATTGTTAAATGGCAAAATATTACTTACATGGAATCCAAATTAGTGAAGTACAATTATCCACCATATGGGGATTCCTTGAGTGAATGTTGGTGGATAATTGAGAGATCTAAAACAACGGTCATAGAAGCTTGATACAGTAACACTTGACATGGGAACAAATGCAAGGACAGCATAATTTCTTTGACCTGTTGTCCTAGGGAACTGACGCAAGTTAACGATGACTTAACCATTAATTTAGAATTTTGGTTCCACGCCACTCCTCAACTGCAGTTTCTTTCTAAGGCATACTTTCATGGACTTCAGCGTTCCTTCCTAGTGGCAGGTCATTTAACAGTGGAGGGGGAAATCACAGCCTAAATCAGCTCTACCCTAATGCAATAACCACCTAGGTGCATACTGCATTAAGTCCACTGGACAACGATCATAAGCAGGAAAGGCGACTGATTTTTTGACCTTGCCTAACTAGGACAGATTAACAACAACTGTAGCAACCCTAATACTGACTCAACGTCACACTGGGTTGAGCATGGAGTCACATTACTACTCAATAAACAGAGATAAGACAATTCTTTTAATACCTGCACTGTATTTTTGCCACTTACCTCACCAGTGGCATTTGACAGCCTTTGCACAATCTTATCATGTGGGGTTGCAACAACACTTTGTCCATTTATTTCAATAATGCGGTGTCCTACTCGGATTCCACCTCGCTCTGCAATTCCACCTCTCATGAGACTGTAGATCTGAATCAAGAAGCCAACAGAATACGTAGCAACATTAACTTGTTCGATTATTGAACTGCTGCTGATTTCACATCAAGGCCAATCTTATAGCCTTTAAAATAAAAATTCGGCTCACCTTGTTGCCCTTTCCTTTATTTTCTTCTTTCCCCATTTTTAGGATCTTCTGAGTTTTTCTTTTAATTTGTATTATGATCTTACCAGAGAATTGAATCATTATCTAATGAGCAAACATTTGCAGCACTTCAGGGAAAAGGCAGGGGCGTGGTACTAGGTCAAAAACTCTTGCACAGAACTAGCACTGACATGATGGGCCACATGGCCTGTTACTGTTCTGTAAACATTCTATTTTTGAGAAATTAAAATCAGAAACTTAAAAATAATTTGGTAATGTTTCTTCTCCCTCTGGGTCACCTCAGAGGCTTTTAAGAAGTTTTAATTGTCCAATCAAAAAGCCACAAGATAGTCTTGAATCACATTAGTTAATCTCTGAACGTTCTGAAGCAACAGAATGAAAATGGATCCACTCAGCTGCAGCCAGCTTGGGGAAGGAACACTTGGCTCAAATGAACTTAGACAGGGTACATAAAAGGGGTTAATGCAGATTTCTCATGGGTATTTCAAAAAGCACACATAGCACACACCACAGATGAACAACTCAGCAGATTGGAGAAATTTAAAATAAAACAGGATTTTATAAAACAGGTTGCTCAGGAGTAAGTTTGAGACTGAACTGACTGGCAGGTTCAGATGATGTCAGTGCAGATTTCAATTTCTCGATTAGGTTACAGTCCCTGTAACTCACTCCCAACTCTCATTGGATGTCTAAACCAGTAGTATACAATGACAATGGCGCACAATGCTTGACATAATGGTCTAAAATGAAGATAGTTTAGACAGGGTCAAGTAACTCCTAATGGGCATAGATTAACTGCACAAAACTGCTCCTGATTCAAGACCAATTAGCAATCTGTTAGAAAATAACTGACATAAATGAAATCTTCTGGCAGAAGACTACTTTGAATTCTACTTAAATATATCTGATTGTACTCTATAGTGAAACATTAATATGAAAGGCCATCAGCTTTTCAGGCATAGAAGCCTTACAATACAGCAAAGACAATGCGTGGCTTGCAACTTTTTGAAAGTGCGTGGAGAGCTTTTACACCAGACTAATGATGTGCCATCAAATGTGTAACTGCCCATGTGTAGCTGGATTACAGTGATCACTTTAAATGGCAGTGACCTACCTCTTGCATTGGAGACGCATACTCCACTTTAAAACAGGTAACTTGCTAGGATTGACAAAGAGACGTGAACATGCTGCAAGTACAACCTACCACACAATGCCAGGCCTTCATAAGAATTACAATTTACATAGGAGCGAGAGAGAATGAGAGAAAGGAGAGGGGGAGGGGGAAGGGGAAGGGAGAGAGGAGAGGGAAGGAAGGGGGGGAAGGGAGAGAGGAGACTGGGGGGTAGGTGAGGGAGAGAGGAGGGAGGGGGAGGGAGGAGGGGGGATGGAAGGAAGGTTTATCGCCACTTGTATTCTACAATGAACACCACAGTAAAATACAGTGGTAAACATCATTGGATCATGCTGCAAAACAGCCAATTGACTACTTTTGTTACATTCAGTCATTGTTGTAATACAGGAAACATAGGCAAATTTCCATTCAGCAAGGTCCCAGAAAAGTCAGTAAGATGTTATCTTTATCGATGTAACTAAACATTAACAGAGATCCTAACTTAATTAATAATTAGATATCCTTTCTTGTCAGTGCAAGAGACAGAAAGGATAATGCCACTTAACTTCCCTCAGGAATGCAGGTGAATTCTAAGCTCAATATCATGTGGATAAATTAGATTTGACTCAAACTGACTATCGATCTTAATACTTTCTGTACTACATACAAATTATCTCATCTAACCACGATGAAGCTTCCAGCATCACAATGGCCAGTGCATCTGTTTGGTGCCAAGTTATCAGCTGGAGGACACTAGTTGCTGCTCCCTGCTCTATCAACATTGTATCTCTATCAACACTATCAACAGGAAACAACAATTAAAAGCGACAGTGAAAATAAAACAAGGTAAACAAATGTTTAAAAGTTTGCATTACTTTCCTTCCTTGATACCTGGCATGAGGAAAATGCTGAAATTTTTGTGTTCATTTCTCTCAACTGTGCTAATAGCTTTTCCTACAAAATGGCAGAGCCTGAGAAGCTAGAAATTCCTTTGGGCCTGCTCAAGTAATTTGTGTAAAAATGGTTCACAGTATTTACTTACAATGCCATCCTGTACACTAAATCCAAGCTGGTGCTTTTGATCTGGTCGTTTGATAATTGCTGTGGTGACTGGAGGACAACGTACAATGTTCAGTGTCACTTCAGACTGGTATTTCAAGTCCTTTAAAAGCAGTACGTTAAATGTCAAATAAAAACTGGTGTAAAACAAAAAAGTGTCAAACTAGCAGCAAGATCACTACAAAAACCATGCAAAGTATGCTCAGCATCATTCACCATTCCTTATCTTAATACAGTCACATTGAATAAAAAACACTCTACTTTATAAAAGGATGCAAAGATAAACCTAGCAACTGCAGCCCAGTCTTGGTGATACAAAATCTTTTAAATGTGATAAATATCGACACAGAGTAAAAAAGCAAGTTGTGATGAACCTTCACAAAACTCTGCTTCAACCTTAACTATTGTGTTCTGCCTAATGCTAAGCACTGCTTTTGAGGAGGATGTCAGGTTTTAAAAGAGGTAAAACATTGTTTAAAAAGAGGCACAAAGTTGAAGTGTTTCATGTTGCACTCATCAGACTTTTAAAAGTGACCACAAAAGATTCACATGAAATGCTCTAGCAATGAAGAACTTCAGTTATGTGAATAGAATGGAGGAGGTGGGTGTTGTCCATACAGAAGGTTGAGAGGACATTTGTTAATCGTGTTCAAAATTGAGGGACCTAGACAGAGTAATTACTGTTCTTATGACAGGCTGTCAAGAACCAGAGGACATTCTTAAAGGTGACTGACAGATGAGTCAATGGCAAGATATTAGAGAAAAACCTTTTATACACAGAGTGGTCAGGCACAAGTGGGGCTTTGGAAAGGCTATTACCCAAGTACTCAGAGAAAATTAGGACTACATGGAAAGCATAGAAAAGCGAAATTAATAGCTGCCTTTTGTGTTGTAACCACTTTATCAATCTATTGCACTAAACAGCAGTTATTATCCATTCGCTTAATAATTTATACATTTAGTTGTTTTTCATTGCTTGGCTGAGGTGCAACCTCATGGATGCAGCAAACCACTCTCCTTGCGCTGAAAACTGTACAGCAGCTTCTTTTTCACCATTGGGAGGACTACCAGCGAACCATATCTAATCACGAATACAAAAACAGAATACTATAGAGGTTTCAAATTTGAAACAAAAATGGAAAACACTCTGAAGGTCAAACAAGATTTATGGAGAGACAATCTTAAACATTGTTTCTCCTCCCCATATTCTGCATGATCTGAGTATTTCCAGCATTTTGTGTTTTTATTTCCTGTCATTGTCTGAATGCCAGATACACACACTTATCTAGATGCTGTACTGGATGTCTGTTTGATTTTTCTCTCCCAATATCAGAGCACACAGGACTACTGTAGCAGCCCAACTGTATAGGCAGCTAAGCTTAAATATTGGACTTCCCAATCTGTATGGTTTAGTGTCTAAAAGTGCCTTCCAGGTAGCTGAGGAGTAAACAAACCAGTAAAATCGGTGAGCATGTTTCTCAAATAGTTTGGAGATGTCATGTTGCTCCTTGGTAATACTATCTGAAGACATGGAGTTAGCTGCCACAGATACACTGACAATACCCAGTTCCACCTCTCTCCTTTCCATTGTTCAATCGTCTAAACAGTGTCCATTTCTTTGTCCACTCTTCCAGCCTGTCCATGTCATTCTGCAGCCTCCCACTTCCTCAACTCTACCTGTTCCTCCACCTATATTTGTGTCATCTGCAAACTTGGCAACAATACCCTCAAATCCTTCATCCTGATGGTTAGTGTATAATTTGAACAGCTGTGGCCACAACACTGACCTCTCTGGAATGCCAGTAGTCACCGGCTACCATCCTGAAAAAGATCCCTTTATCCCCACTCTCTACCTTCTGCCAGTCAGTCAATCCTCTATCCATGTCAGTACCTTGTCCCTAACACCAAAGCATTTAATAAAAATCTGATACTTTCTCCTCCCTGCTGAGGACATCGATTTTTGCAATGCAATCCCAGCATGTCAATGCACTTCCAGTACCACACACAATTGGGTAGTTTTTATCTGCAAGCCTAGAAAACAGAATGTCATCTGTCTGTTCAAACACAACTGTGTCTTTGCTTGACATACATAGACTTGCATTTCCTGGTAATGATCATTTGATGAGTCCTTGGATCACTACCCATTCATAGTCCAAGAATGTTAAAATCAATTGCAATTCACTATCACCGTATAGCTTAGACTGAATCCAAGACCTACTTGGTCTGAGCGGCTCAATATCAAAGCCAGCAGGAAATCCAACTGATACTGCTAAGAAAGTTGTACTCAAATGCTTGTATCAATGCATAAAGTTATATTGGAGAAACTGACTACAATTTACAACTAAAGTCATTTATGCTTATGAAACTGTACCTTAAGGCAACAAGATAAATAAAGGAAGTGATGCTCAGAAACTGCAGCGCTGCAGGAATACAGTACCTTGATTATTCCCTGACAGGTGGTAAGTGGTAGTCCAACTAAACTAGTGCCATTTACAGAAATGATTTGGTCACCGATATTCAGCTCTCCTGATCGCTCTGTTGGCCCACCATGCATGAGGTTGGCTATCACCACTGTGGGTAGGATGGAGCCCCAGCCTGACTCCACAATTACAAGGCCAAGGATCTCTCCCTTCGCTTTCTCTATACGGACCTATGTTGAAACCAGAACTGCATTAATTCACTCACATTCACAATGGAAATTTGCTCAGTAAAAACATCACACAGTTTAACTGGCATGAATTCTCAAGTGAGAAGAACTGGGTGGGGGGGAAAAAAACATGATGGGAAACAATTTTCAAGCAGCAGTCTCTCCATCTTCCCAAATTTCTCCCCTCATTTCTTGAGGGCATTCAATTGCTGTTCCACAGGCACTAGCAGCTCTCATGACGATTGCACAGTTTGACTGTGGTCTTGTTAGAAATTTTTCTGCTTTTATCTCAAGTTTATTCTAAAATCGACTACCGCTCCACCACTCTTATGGTTCATGAATCCAAAATGATATTGAATTACACTGGAGCACGATTGTGAGGATCCCCGAGTGAAATAACTTTTTAAAGTTAATTTTTGGGCACTATTGTCTAAAATTCATGTGTAATTACTTCTCTTCCTTACTTACTTTGTTGCCTCTCCCTCTATCAGGGCACAAATTAATGAATACAATGTTTGCTTAAAACTAAGCTAAAAACAACATCAATTCAATACCGCCCATACTAAAAGTCAAAGACTAAGTGGTCTTCAGACACAATTCTAGTCTGTGCTAACAGTCAATTTCAGTAGTAAAATCACTATAACTAGCCTAAGCATCCTGGAAATTATAGACTTGGATTGAGGGAAAGAGGTCGACCTACGAATTTATTCCTGATTACTACATAGTGGCCCTTGGTAGTAGGTTAATGCAAGAAAGGAATCGTCAGTTTTGGCTGGAACACACCACTCACTAGAAGACTGTATGCTCACAAACAATGAACAAACATTTCAGCAGGGAGTGGAAGTCACCTACATCGTGGATGAATAAATAATCAAAAGCCAGCGCCTCCAGGACAGACGCAGAGAAAAACTGGTAACCCAAATTTTTAAGATGATTTTGGTAACACATAATAGTAATAAAACATTACCAAGACTCCTTCCACCAGTTATTTTTTACAAACCAAAATTTCCCTCCCCAGGTATTCTCAAACAGCCTCTTAACATTGAAACAGGTATAACCACATTTTTAAAAACTGAAAGAACTGCGGATGCTGTAAATCAGGAACAAAAACAAAGTTGCTGGAAAAGCTCAGCAGGTCTGGCAGCATCTGTGAAGGAAAAAATAGAGTTAACGTTTCGGGTCCGGTAACCCTTCCTCAGAACCACATTTTTATTCACTTCACTTTCACATCAGATGCTCACCTCTTTGGAGTTCTCTGACTTGGAAAAATGCACAAGATCCCCATTGTAAAATTCTGTGTCAAGTAAATCATTGTATTCATTAGGACTCAGATCCGCAGGGTTGATACCATTAGCATTCAGAAACTGCTGGTACGCCACAGTGAAAGCTTGGCCTATCGCTTGTGCGATAAGTGATGCCTGCAAGCAAAGGCAGAAAACTAAGTTTTTGCTCAAGAAGGACACGTTGGATGTTCAGTTAATACTGCAACAGATATAGGTGGATCATTAAATGGGATGTGTTCAAGCATACTTGCATACAGGTGCTTTACAGGAGTTCTGGAACAAATTCACCAGTTTTTTGTGCTAAGTACTTGCAAAATCAACACTTACCTTGTTTTAACCAAATAAAATCAGCACTACTGCTATGGTTAAAAAAAAGCACGAATATAAAGCAATGTAAATTAAACACTGCTAAGCAGTAAATACAAGACTCCCACAAGTCAAACTGCAAGAATGTCCTCTAGTCCTGAGACCATTGTTTAAAGATCTATGCTACTCACATCTTCTGATTCAAAGACATGGCATATCATCTTGTACTCTCGCTTTCCAGCAGGTGAGTTCCTGGTCTCCTGGTCTGGCAATTTACGTGGCATTCGTCGACGAGCCATGAAAACTATTGTAGTTCCAATATCTGCAATGTACGAAATGGTCTGTAGAGGGTGATCCATCAGGGCTTCCTACAGTAACAGGGATTTGATTTGTAATAAACCAATGATACAGGCCTGCAATCAGTTGTCATAGAGAGTAAATATTTTTCAATTAAAGATGGGGCTGTTCAGCTCTACCACTGGGATTTCAGTAAGTCTACAGGCATTTGAAAATTTCATTATCTACTTAAACTTTCTAAAAACAAACCTGTAAAATAACCATTGACTTCTTTCATTGCTTGGGTTGAGGGGGAGCAACGAGAGACATTTTTTGGACTGCACAATGCAACCTACATTTCTGTGCACAATCAGAAGCACAATGTTTCTGATGGGATGCCAATCATAACCTCAACTGTTCTCTCATGAGTAAACACAGTCACAGAGTCATACAGCACAGAAACAGACCCTTCTGTCCAACTCATCCATGCCGAACAGACATCCCAATCTGACTTAGTCCCATTTGCCAGCATTTGGCCCTTAATCCTCTATTTGAAGAACTAATGTAAAGCACTGGAAGACTTGCTTTGTTTTATTTGGTTGGGAGATTTGGATAGCATTGGCTGAGCCAGCATCTATTTATGAAAATTTAGTTGCGGTGAGCTGTCTTCCTGAATCTTGGGGCAAACACACTGTGCTGTCAGGAAGGCAGTGCCACCATTATGACCCACAACAGTGAAGGAATAGTGATATATTTCCAAGCCAAAATCCTGCGTGCCTTATAAAGGAACTTGAAGGTGGTGTTGTTTCCATGCAGTTGCTGACCTCATCCTTCCAGGTGGATGGGGTCACAGGTTTGGAAGGTGCTGTCAAAAGGACCCTAGGTGGGTTGTTGCACCTCTTACATGGTATACACTGCTGACTGTGCACCAGTGGTGGACAGAATGAATACTGAAGGTGGCAGATGGAGTGCAAATCAAACAAGCTGCTTTGTTCTGGATCGTGTCAACCTTCGTGAATGTTGTCCAGGCAGGTTCAGGATTTTCCATCACATTCCTGACATGTGCCTTGCCGACAGTGGACAGGCTTTGGGGAGATATGAAGCAAGCTACTTGCCACAGAAATCAGCTCTGAGCTGTTCCTATAGCCATAGTATGTACATGGCTGGTCCAGTTCAATTTCCGGTCAATGGTAACCCAGACGACATTGATAGTGGAGGATTCTGTGATGCCAGTGCTATTGGATATCAAGAAGGTGATGGTTAGATTCTCTCTTGTTGGAGAAGGTTTTTGCATGGCATGAATTTGGTTTTGCCATTTATCAACATACCTAGATCCTGTTGGCTGTTTCAATAACTGAAGTGTCGAATTATGTTGAATATTGAATGCGCCCACTTCTAACGATAAAGGGCAGCTCACTGTTGAACTAGCTGATGTAGGTTGAACTTAGGACACTACCCTGAGGAACCACTTCAGCATTATCTGGGTATTACGATGATTAACTTGCAATAATCAAAACCGTCATTCTTTGTGCTAGACATTGCTCCAACTAGTGGAGAGTTTTCCCTCAATTCCCATTGACTCTGGTGTTACTTGGGCTGCTTGATACTACACTTGATCAAATGATGCCTTTTTGCAATGACACTCAGACTCCTCTCACCTCACCACTGGAGCAGAAACCAAAGACCCAACTTATGGACCATCAGTTTGAAGCTAGGAAAGAGGGCCAAGGAAAAGGTATATAGATTATGGATGAAGATCTGTAAAAACTATATAGTTTCAAGTATCTGGGCTCAATGGTGGCAGGAAATGGAAGTTTGGAAATGTAAACCAACAACCAATTAGCTCTGGTTGGAGTAATTGGAAGAAGTGCAGTAGAGTGTTTTATAAAGAAATTTATTGTTGAAACCAAAAGGAAGAATTTACAAGAAAGCTGTGAGACTCATTGTTATATAGTGCATTAACATGGGAAACATCAAGTAGAGAGGGATAACAACTGGATACTAGTAAGATGTGAATTCTAAGATCGATAGATTAATGAGAAAACACAAAATCAGGAACCAGCGTATTAAGTAATCATTGAAGATTGTGGAAGTATTAAAGAAAATAGTTAACTGTAGTTAAGTAGCCAGTTAAATGATACAGTCATGTGTGGTGGAGTAAAACAGGAAATGTAGTGAGCTGACTGATTGAGATGGGACTGCCAGAAATAAGGAACTGACCAAGACCAAATGGGAAAGTGCAGCAGTAGGAGTTTCACAAACGATAGAGTTGAATGAGAAATAGACTTGGATAGGATGAAATGGAGTAGAGTGATCAACCAGCATTGTGATGACCAAAAGTAAAATAGCAGAAGCTGAGAAAAGTACATCTTATACCCTAGGTATATTGCTAAATAGTTAATCCTTCTGTTACCTGTGTTTCTGCATTTAGTACTTTAATTCGCTGTGTTGATATGAACAGATCCACTGCGGTCATTGGCTGTGACTCTCCTTCTGGTGCCTGATGAATAAACAAAGATAGCTACTTCATCTGTATGCCCAATATTTCCTCTTACAAATTGCTCTGCTCCATTGGAGTTTTCAGGTAGCAGGAGCTACATTTCATAGTTGATTTTGGCAATGTGTACAACTGAGAGACATTGCAAAACAAAACCAAATGGTTCCTTGATGACCATATCATGTTTTTTATGCAGTGAACAGCAGAAAGAATGTGGGAACCTGATTTCTTTTACATTATCTCCCTAACCAGGGACACAGAGGGCAGCTCTGGTGCAGAGAGTCCTCACTTAATGTTGTGGGTGTATTCCTGAAAATAGAGACTTGTAAGTGAAACACAGGCTCCCAGGAAAACCGCTAAAACTGGCGATAGGATACTTTCAACATTTCTTGCACAGAAAAAAAACGTACAAGTTCAAATATCATACCGTATACATGTAGTACTGTGCATTCCTAATGGAAATAATAGATAAAACACTTAATTTCAAAGAAATACTGCATAATTAGGTCTAATAAGACCTTTCTCACTAGAAAACAACAATAAGTTTAAACATACTAAGCCTAAAACATAGGTTTAAATGCTGTTCATTCCCAATGTCTACACCCATAAGCAAGAGTCTTTACATTAAAATGAATGTCAAATTATAAAATATATGTATATACATAAATCAAGTTTTATTGTACATCTTATGCTTGAATAAATTAACATTACAGTCACCTATAGTGGTTTTAGAATGATAGAGCTCCATCAAGTGGCAGAAGTTGGTTGGTACAGGCAGCTGCTGAATTCTCAGAACTACCTGCAGGGACCAACTTCTCCCCATGGAGCCAGAAGAGAAGTAGCAGCTAAGGAGATGGTGGCAAAGGCAGTGCGAAATTTAAAGGTACGAAAAGAGGGCAGGAACAGGAGTTATTGAGAAGAGAGACTGGCATAAAGGGCAGGAGCAGACCAAGGCCAGGGAACCACACAGAGAGGGACCATAGTCCCCAGTGGACACAATTGGCACTGGGGACTTCAAAAGTGGGAATGGATGGTGGAAATGAGAGTTTGTTCTTTTTGAGGGTGGAGGGGTGAATTGCAGGGAAAATGAGGAATTCCAAGAGTGGGAGTGGGAGTGTTGGTGGTGGGGGGGTTCCATTTGAGTTGGTGGCCCACAGAAGAGGATCTCTGGGCCCAACAAAATTAGAAGTGAGGTAAACAAACAGGAGGCTGGAAGAGCACAGCAAGCCAGGCATCACCTGGAGGAAAGGAGAAGTCAACATTTTGAGTAATATCCTTCTTCAGGACTGGATGTGGGGGTAGGGGGAGCTGCAGATAAAGAGAGAGGCGGAGGGTGGCAGCGGAATGGTGGTGATAAGTGGACACTGGTAGTAGGTACAACCTGGTTGGTCAATGGGAGGTTGGTGGCTGGAAAGGAGGGGAGGAAGTGGGGCTGAAAAGGGAGCCGGGGGATGGGTGGGAAGGTTATTTGAAATTGAAGAACTCAATGTTGAGCCATCCGGGCTGTAGAGTGTCCAGGCAGAAGATAAGGTGTTGATCTTCAAATTTGCATTGAGTCGTTGCGACACTGGAGGGAGGCCGAGGACGGGGGAGTGGGGGGTTGAAATTGGCAGCGACTGCCTGTAACGGGCTAAGAGAAGATATTTGACAAAACTGTCACCTAGCCTACGTTTGGTCTCACCGATGTAGAGAAGATTGCATCAGGTGCTCTTGATGCAATAGACTAGATTGCAGCAGATGCAGGTGAAGCTCTGTCTCACTTGTAAGGGCTGGTTAGGGCCCTGGATGGAGGTGAGGGAGGTGATGTGTGGGCTGGTGTTGCATCTTTTACAGTTACAGGGGAAGGTACCAGACGGGTTGGAGTGGTTGGTGGGGATTGTGGTGCGAACTAAAGAGTGGTGAAGGGAACGGTCCTTGCGGAAAGCAGAGAAGGGTGGGGAGTGGAAGATGTGCCAGGTGGTGGGGTCTAATTGGAGTTGGCAGAAGTGCTTGAGGATGATACATTGGATGAGGAGGTTGATGGGTGGGAAGTGAAACTTGTAACATCAAGATGATGTATTGACACCACTGTATTAATAATATTACAGCAGAACAACATTAAATCAGTCAATGCTAAGGGAGGGCTTATTGTATCACATCCAAGATCAGTTAAAAGTACAGTTTAAGTAGCAAACCACCAGCAACCTCTTGGTCTGCCTGACCGATATCACAAAGAACACAGCAGAAGAATGCTGCTCTAACTTCAAGTGAATAGTTTACCACATTGCAAACTGCTGACATTAAAAAATATGCTCAAAAGAAATATTAATTGGAATACTTTTCACAAGTACCTTTATCCTCCCCACTGCTTCCTGTGCTTGTGACATTCGAACATTAGTTGATGGATTTTTGTCAGAGAACAGCTGTGTTGATCCAAGGTAACTTGCTGCAAATATGATTCCATCAAGAAGATCCTCAGAATCACAGGGCCCTGACACTTCACGGGGATAAAGAACAAAAGCACTATTACATGTTATTACATTTCAAAACATTCATCTCACCCTCTTGAATATACAAGGTATGGATTCTGTAGATACTGGTTGTCCTCCAGTACCTGCCCTTACGAATATGCTTAATGTGTTAGTGCAATAAATGGCACCAGAGTCTCTGACCTTAAAGCCCATTACACCCAAACCTGAAAGGTCTTCAACTGAAATCAACACAAACATACTTTCCACCAGGAATTGGTGGGTAATGATTAGAAGCAGGAAGTCTAACTTCCATCTCCTCCCTCTCAAACCCAGAAGATGCTAAGGCAAATTGCGGAAGCCTGTGGAAATCACCCAAATTATCATTGACCAAGAACTTGACATCTTGTCTGATTAAATTTGCTACTTTTTTGGATAAACAATTTATGGTCGATCCAGTGAACAGCACGAGATGAAATGTTAAGCTGAGAGTACGTATGCTCCCTTGTTTCAGCACCCATAAGATGTAGCACCAGAATGAGCCGTTTGACCCATCAGACCTGCTCTGACATTCAATGAGATCACAGCTGATCTGATAATCTCAAACTCCATTTTTTGTCTCATCCTTATAACCGTTGAATCCCTTATTGAATTAATTAACTAACAAACTAGAATTAACCTAGTGAACTTCCTCTTGACTGCTTCCAATACCAGTAAATCTTTCCCTAGGTAGGGGACTAAAACCGTTCGCCTATGGCATTAAGTGAACAACAGTAGTTGAGTTCTCCCAGTGCCATGGGTATGAACTAACCTTTGAGTAACAACACTAAAACAGATTCTCTGGTCATTATTATATTGCAGTACTGCATCTAGGGTCTTGCTCTGCACAAAGTTAGTGTTGTGTTTGGTATATTACAACAGTGTCAGTTTTGAGATGTTCTGAAGTTGTAACAGGTTCCATATCAATGTATTTCTGTCCTTTTTCTTGTTGAACCTGACTCACTGTACAGTACATTTAGGCAGATATTTGAAGATTACCTTCTTTAAATGCAGGATAAGAAAATTTCTTCCTCGGCTGTAATTTAAAAAAATGAAGACTTTTAATAACAAAGTAAATGTAAACATATTCTTTCAAAATATTTGAGGTGGTTTAACTGGTTCTTTTTGAACACAGACATAAAAACAATTCTGTCTGAATCCTTGGTTCAACGGTAAATAAACTGCTTCTATGTTGCTGAGTCATGTGAAAGATGCTTCCTAAGCAGAATCTGCTGGAATCAGTTAGGACACCAAATAGGTGCAAGGTTCAGTCACTATTTCACTCCCTTTCACTTCCTGCTCGAATGCAGGAACACCACCCCACTTCTCAGAACATCTTCAAATATGATATAAACTGGCTTTGCAAGCAATTTAAAGCAATAACCATCTACATCTCCTGTGTGGTACTCTTTACAAGGTATATCACGAATCCTCAAAATGCCTACATTTACTTTGACTCCAATCCCACGAGGAATATGTAGCTGGGGCAAACATCATGTATATGTTGAAGAGACGGCTGGATATATAGATGAGGGAATAGAAGGTTATAGTGATAAGGGAAAATAAAGGGAGGTGAGATGCACCTGCATAAACCTGTGTGGCTGAATGCCTGTTTATGTGCTGTAAATACTGTTAACGTTATTCTAGTTGATCTTCTCTGCACCTTCTTTGTAGTTGTAACATTATATTCTACATTCTATTACCCTGAGGTACTTATGTAAGATATGATTTGTCTGGATAGCATGCAAAACAATACTTTTTTTAAAACTGTATCTTGATACGTGACAATAATAAATCAAATCAAACTCATACGTTTCCTCCCACAGTCCAAAAGTGTGCAGGGTAGGTGGATTGGCTATGCTAAATTGCCCATAGTGCCCAGGAATGTTTAGGTTAGGTGGGTTAGATATGGAAAATACAGAGGTAGGGGAATGGGTCTGGGTGGGATGCTCTTCAGAGGGGCAGTGTGGACTTGTTGGGCTGAATGGCCTGTTTCCATACTGTAGGGATTCTATGATTGAATGGCGTAGTTCTGTTCCTATTTCTTAAACTTGCATGTCATTGTGTAATATTCTTTTGAGATTGATTTTCCTTACCTGACTATCATGCTCACGGATACTGCTTTCTGTGTGGCAAGCAGCTCGACTTGGCGTATCAGCATGCTCAACAACATCTTCAGGAAGAAAGGATTTGCTAATATTCTCAACTTCTTCTTTTAACTCTTTAATGGCTAAAGACAAAGCCTCTCCCTCTCTCCTCCAGTCTTTCTTCAGCCTATATAATGATTCACAATCTAAAGAGCTCGAGTCATCATTTGCCCCAAAACTACCTGCACATAAATCAGCAGTCTGTTGGTGCTGGAGCTTTCTATCAGTGTTTTCCACAGATTGACCAAACACGTTCCCAGATGAAACTTCTCTTAAGGTTGTGTTGTTTTTAACAGTTCCTTCGGGAGCATGACTCAATACCTTCACAGCCTGGTCACCACATTCAACATGGTTAAGGACACCAGACTTTGAACCTGGATAGCTTACTTCGTTTAGTTCGCTGCCATGATGAAGCCGATCTTTCATTTCATTTCTTCTAGGTCTCTCAGTCGACATTAAAGGCTCATGACTCATCTCAGTCAAAACATCCTGATGGTTAATTGTGTCAAATAATTGCCTGTCATCATTGGTCAATGAATCACTTTCAGCACATGTTGTTAGTTTGCCACCGCTTTCTAAACTATAACCATCCAACAGTTTTGCTTTGCTTCCCAAGGTCACCGTACCCTGCTCATAGAGGCGTAACTGACTCAAAAGCAATTTGATCTGACAGTGATCATCATCTTGAAGATCTGAAGTCTTTTCTATGTTGTCAGTTTCTGAACTTAAATCTATCACACCATTTCGAATCAAATTGTTTTCTGAATCTGTCATTAGGTCTGACAAGTACACAGAAGCACTACCTCCTTCACTCAATGTGTTTTCGAGTTCCACAATGTCCACAAAGTTGTCTTTCTCGGTAACATCTTTGCTCAAAAGCGCACAGCGCTCATCACCATTAAAATCTTCCTCCAGGGTCTCTCCATTAGCATCCCAGCTGCAATGGTTTTCCAGAGAAACATCTTTATCAACCTCGGCTTGAATACTTTCCACATTGACTTCATCGTTTTCCAGTTCTTGATCACCCATCCTAACGCCGTTCATACGTTGGCTTGAAGTCAGTGGGGGGTTATCAATCTCAGTGATACCTTCCTGCCTGTTCATGTTAACCTCCTATTACCATTATTTGTCCGGGATAAGTAAAACATCTAAATTAAGCATGTCCTGTTACGGGTGGGGGAAGAGTGAATCTAATAAAGGTATAAATTTACAAGGAAACCCGCTCACTCGGCTCAGGGGTGTGGGCTCCTCTATTACAGTGAATGCCAGTCACTTGTCTGGATGCAGACAGCCCAGTCCCGCTACGAAGTCAACCCCGGCCCTGCCTGACAGGGCTACCCTGCAGGGGGAGCGACTCGAGCAGCCGAATCACCATCCAATTCCGGGGCTGCCGTTACTGGAAAGTCCGAGGCCGCGGTCTGAACAAGTTCGCGGCTGCTCCCGTTCGGCGCTGAGCGTCAATCCAGCGGGTCGGACACGGACCCCGAGTTCCCCCTGAGCTGCGGGCCGGACCCCCAAGTCTGAAAGCCCAGAAAAGCCTGAAACACTAGGCCCAATTCCGGCGTCGAAGCTTACATCCGACGTCAGCCGCAGTTTGCGTGACGACATCACCCCGCGGTCCGGCGTCAGTCACGTGTCCTCTTTCCCTTCTTCCCTCCACTGAGGCAGAATCTTCATATATCAGCTTCTGAGAAATAAACGCTGCTCCACACTTTAAATAATTAAAATTACAGGGAATGCTGGAGATCTGATAGTAAATGAAAATAGAAGGCTTATCAGCAGGTAAGGATTGGAGAGCTGAGGGGAAGTTGCCAACACTCCAGGATTGACCTGAAGTCCCCAGGAATTTGGGGTCAAACTCAATAAGACAAATTAAGTATTGTCCAGTTGAACACTTTCACTTACTACTTTGGAGATGGAAGAAAAGTGTTCAGTCAAGAACTATTCATGTAATGAAAAGTCTAGAGTTACAGAGGTCTACGTGGGGAAAGACCCTTGGCACATTGAGTCAGCACGTCAAAAAAAAACCACTGAACTGTTCTAATGTCATTGTCCAGCACTTAGGCCTTGTATGCCTTGGCATAGCAAGTGCACGTCTAAATACTTCTTAAAGGTTATGAGGGTTTTTGCTGTTATCACTTACAGGCTGTGAGTACCAGATTCCTGCCATGCTCTGGTGAAAAAGGTTTTCCTCACATCTCCTCCAAACTTCTTGCCCATTACCTTGAGTCTACACCGCACCCCCATCATTGATATCTCCGTCAAAGGGAAATGTTTCTTCCTATGCATTCTGCCTGTACTCCTTATAATCTTATACATCTCAATCATGTTGCCTTACCCCCTCCAACACCACCAAGACTCTTCCGCTCCAGGGAAAACAACCCCAGTCTATCCAAGATAACAAGGTGCAGAGCTGGATGAACACAGCAGGCCAAGCAGCATCAGAGGAGCGGGAAGGCTGATGGTTCAGGCCTAGACCCTTCTTCATTTCTTGGCCTGCTGTACATCCAGCTCTACACCGCTCTACACCTTGTTACCTCCGATTCTCCAGCATCTGCAGTTCCTACTACCCCAGTCTATCCAATCTCTTTTGATAACTAAAAGTCTCCATCCCAGGCCACATCCTGGTAAGTCAACATGCACCCTCTCCAGAGTGGTCACACCTTCCTATAATGTGGATTCCAGAACTGCACACAATACTTCAGGCAATGCACCCGGAATGGTAGATGCATCAGTGGTGCACTTACGGAAATGTGGAGATTGGAGGAATGAGGGCTGTGGCCTAACCAACATTTTATACAGTTCCAGCATAAGCTCCTGGCTCTTAAATGTTTTGCCTTGGCTAATAAAGGCAGGTATAACATTTGCTTTCTTAAACCCTTAATTTATCTGTTCAACGTTAAGGCACCAGTGGACATGCACAACAAGGCTCTCCTGATCCATGATGTGCCCTTGTTTCTCTAGTCCAACAGCATCGCCTCAAACTTATCTGGATTGAATTCCATTTGCCACTAATCAACCCTTCCGCCCAGCTGGTACAAATGCTCCTGTAATCTAAGGCTATCCTCCTCTCTATTTACCACTGCAGCAATTTTCACATCAGGATGTTTGGCAATGCACCCGGAATGGTAGATGCATCAGTGGTGCACTTATGGAAATGTGGAGATTGGAGGAAGGAGGGCATGTGATGAAAACTCCTGGAATACAGGAGCAATCAGAGTTGGCAACCCTGGAGAAAGCAAACAGGGAAGCAGATCTCCCTCTTTCCCTTAGTGTTTGGTTCCATAGCATCAGAAAAGAATTTGACACTTCCACTAAAAATCCTTCCTCAGACTGGTCATTGAAGAGTCATTGAATGGTCTGCATCCAAAATTGTAACCTGTATCTTATTTTCCCATTACTTTGGCAGAGAGGCATGGGATATGAAGCAGAGGTACAGTAAGGGGTGATGCACAGACAAGTATAGAGGAAAAACCAAGTCAGTCTGGAACGCAGAGCATAAACTGTCAAGTTATGGCACAAGTGAGCATGGGAAAGCTGGATTGCATTTATGCAAGGAGCCTCGCAAGTGAGGCAGAGCATTTTGATTTACACATTGTCGTGATAGGATTAAAAAGGTATCTTCAAATCGAATCGTTGAGGGTTCATTGAACATGACAACGAGCAATTGAAATGAAGTGGAAAAGTACACGGAAAAGAGGCTTAATGCAAAAGCACCCTGCTTTGACTGAGAGGTGATCAAGTGATACTAAACTGTCTGTGAACACTGTCCTTTTGGGCTGTCAGACGGAGCCACCTGGAGATGTTTTGCTGTATAATGGAATGTCTGGAAACATGCTGAATGTACCATGAAATAGTGATACAGCATGTCATCTTAGATTCAGAATAGTATTAATAGGGACTTTGCCCAATTCAGTGGACTTCACCTCGGGCTGAGATTTGTGACTGTAACAAGGCAGTGAGATTTGTTGCCAACCTAACGTGTTACGTGCTGTTGGACCTCAACTTGGACTGGGATCGCGAATGGTGCCAGGAAACCCGAGTTGTCCAGACTGGTTATCATAAAGCAGGGTCCCCAACAGGTGGAAGGGTGTGAGACCTGTCAATATACATTTAGTGCCTTATATATTTACTGCAATATATGTTCTACTGCGGATATATATATATTTACTGCTTAATATATTTACCACCAGTTTTTATATACACATACACATTACTGCTAATAAATATGTTAATTTGGATAACTTAACCCACAGAGTTTTTTTATTCCATCCCACTGAACCCCACTTTCGAACCTTAACACACAAGAATGTGATATTATTGCTATCACCAGAGACATGGCGGAGGGGCAGGATTAGCAGCTCAATATTTCACTTTTTTCTTAATCTTTAGGTGAGACTGGGAGGGGTGTAAAAGGGGTACTCAAATTAGTCCACGTGATAGAACATGAAAACAAAAAGGAGTCAATCACATTGCTAGGAGTGTACTATATACCTCCAAACAGTCAGAGAGAGAGGAGAAGTGTAAAAATAATATTACGAGATTTCAACTTCGTCAAGATTAATTGGGATAGACAATGTGTGAAAGGCTTAGAGGAGTGAAATTCTTAAAAGTGTATTCAGGAGAGCTTTTCAGGCCTGCACGTGGAAATTCCAAGAAGAGAGTGGAGGAGGGGTGCGTTGGACCTAATTTTTGGCAACAAAGCCAGGGAAGTGGTAGAAGTGTCTGTGAGGGATCATTTTGGTGACAGTGACCACAACGGAGCAAGATTTGGACAGTGATGGAAAAGGACAAAGATAGACTAGAAGTTAAGGTTATGAATTGGGTAAGGCCATTTTAATATGATAAGACATGATCTGGTCAAAATGGTCTGCAAGTAGCTACTTAGAAAACCTACATCAGAATCACTCAAAAGGGTAATAGTGAGAGTGCAGGGTCAATATGTTACCATAGATGTGACAAGTGGGCTAACAATTTCAGGGAGCACAGGATGTCAGAGTTGTACAGGATTGAATAAAGAGATGTTGGGAAGCTTACGGAGGATACTGAAGGATCAGAACACTGGAGGAGTATAGAAAGTTTAGGGGTTTAATTAAATATGAAGTTAGAAGAGAGAAGAAGAGGCATGAAAAAACTAGCGAGTAAAATGAAAGAAACCTGAAGGCTTTTCATAAGTATGTTGCAGCAATAGGGTAACCAGGGAGAGAGTAGAACCCATTAGGAACCAAGTCGATATATGTGTGGAGACATTAGTATGTAGAGGATGTTTAAAATGAGAATTTTGCATTTGTACTCACTGTAGAGAATGCCTATATAGGTATAGAAATCAGGGAGGGAAACTGATATACTTGAACAAATTAGCATTGAGAGAGAGAATGTATTATTTGATTTGGCAGGCTTAAAATTGGATAAATCACCAGGCAGCGATGTAGGAGGCAGGGAAGGAGATTGCAAAAACTCTGGTATTCGTTTTGAAATTCTTTTTAGTCACAGGAGTGGGCCAAAGGATGAGAGGGTAGCAAATGAGGTACCATTATTTTAGAATGGTGGTAAGAATAAGCTACAAGCCAATGAGCTTAATATTACTGGAAGGTAAACTATTGGAAAAAATTCTGACAAACAAATTCATGTCCACGTGGAGCAGCACTTTCCATGGTCTAAAACTTTATAACTCAAAAGCTGACGCACCTGTATTGTATTTCGAACATATTTCAGATCAGTGCTTCTTAAAAAGTTGTTTTAAATTATTTTTCTTGCCAGCACAAATTATAGCACCATCATTTTTAAAATTCCACTACTTACAATCAACAGTGACAACTTATCCACTTGTCAGGCTGCGTCTTACTTTGAGTTACAATGTTGTAATGAAGAGGCAGAACAACAGTGGGGAAGCAAGGAGATCCTACACTCAGATTTCAATAGCTCGTGGGACATCCTGCTCCATGTGCCTAAAGTTCTGCAGATCAGGAATCAACCTGTTCAGTCATTTTAAGACCCAAGGCAGAAACTCGCGACCCTGAGTAGATGTCAACGTGGAATCAAGGAACAGCCAACCTACAATGGAGGCATTTAATTACATGTCAATTCCAGTGCTATAATGAATGTAATGAATGTAAAATAAGATTGTTGACTTGCTCGCTGAGCTGGCTTGTTTTTGTCCAGACGTTTCATCACCGTGCCAGGTGACAACATCAGTGGAGCCTCCAATGAAGCAATGTTATTCTACTCCGCTTGGAATTTATACTGTCCGGTCCGTTATGGTGAGAACTGTCATTTCTGCTTTTGATCTGTATGGGTTTGTATATGGGGTCCAATTCTGTATGTTTGTTGATTGAAGTTTGGGTGGAGAACCAGGCCTGTAGGAATTTCCGGGCGTGTCTATGTTTGGCTTGGGCCACTATGGTTACCTTGTCCCAGTTAAATTGATGGCCTTATATGAATTCTGAATTTGTTCTGTGAATTAGCACTATTATTAATGAACCAATTAAATACTTAGGAGGTCAGGTAGCATTTATGAGGAGAGAAACAAAAATTAATGTTTCAGGTTGAAGATCTTTCAATTCTGTGTTCTGGATTAATTATTCTGCAATTTGTTGTCTATTTACCTCAGCACAGGGGAGTAATTTG